TTCAATTTATTCTTATAATATAAAAGAGAGAGACAGAGAGGGGAGAGAGAGAGAGAGAGAGAGAGAGAGTTAGAAGAGATAACCGCAATCGAAAATGGGAAGAAATTAATTAAAAAAAAATTTAGAAACGCTAATTTATTTCACGAATCTATCAAATATCCTCTGCTCGTCACTTTTCGTCCCGATACTCTGATGCGTCGTAGTCTCTGCGATAGAGTTATCTACTAGGCTCGGTTTCAAGTACGAGCAATCACGCTGAGCCGCAACGCGACGGAAGCAAGTTCTAACGTTGTTTGATGCGTATCACAGCTCATTAGTTTCTCGAGTGCAAAGAGGCGGATTAAAGCGGGGAAAGGGGAAGGGAAACACACAGCGTATGCGAAAGGTCCGTGGATACACGGCCAATTACAGCTCTATGTAGCAAATAGTTTATAGACACGATACCTCATTCACAGCCACGTCGGACTATCGCACCTCTGCCTACAAGGATGATATTGTCGACATTGCCCGATTAAGCTCGAGCAAATTGACTCGGCAGGATGAAACACGAATTCGTATTTAATTTGTTCGATTCTTTTTCCAAATTATCGGAATCTCCACAAAATAGCTTTTAGATGATTAAATTACATGTTGACTGTTATATATGATAGTTATGTGTAATCGGCGTTTCACTAAGAGAAAACTTTTTGGTAACTATAATTACATATCACTATAATTATGACTATTTTACTGCTATGATAATACAATAGTAATAGCTATATTTGTATAGTTCTATCGACAAATAAATTAACAACTAACAGAAAAGATCTATGTTATAGTTTATATTATTACAAAAATAGTTACAATTGTTATTAACTGTAATTTATAGTCTCAAAAATGACTATTATTTAAAATTATAGTTATATTAGAGTAATTATAATAATTTTTATGATAATAATAATTAAAAAAATTATATTTTTGATTGTCAACCATATACACAATATATATATTTGTGATGTAATTATAGTTACCAAACATAAGACTTGGCAGTTTTAATGTCATTGGTGATTGATTTTGTCGAAATATTTTAAAACGCTTATAAAAAATAATTGTTATTCGACATGCAATTTATATTTACATAAATATCTAGATAAACATCAAGTCTGATCAATCCAAGTCTGACTGTTTTCGATGAAGATTCTAAATTTATTTTACAGACCTAAACGCGGATTACATAGACATGCCCTTCGGTAGAGGAGGCCCCGGAACCCCCGGCATGCCCGGATCCAACAGCAGGACAAAGCGGATGAGAACGAGCTTTAAGCATCACCAGTTAAGAACGATGAAGAGCTACTTCGCGATCAATCACAATCCCGATGCGAAGGATCTCAAGCAGCTTTCCCAGAAAACTGGCTTGCCGAAAAGGGTGTTGCAGGTAAATAGAGACTGTTCGGCTCATGCGATTCGCAATTCCGCGTTTTCTCTTGATACGAGTTAAAATGCGATGTTGAAACTGGAATTTCCTCATTTCGATTTCGTTAGTTAACCGTGTCGCGTTTAGCTTCGAAAGTAGTTGTCCGCTGATGTAATTGCTACTTTGATCACATCTAATTTTGATACAAAACATATTGTAATCGTTTATTAAGTACACGTATAATTAAATATTTATGTAAATTCTTAGAATTAGATGAAATTTTAAACGTTTGAAATGTTGAATTTCTTTACAATATTTTAAATATATCCTAAAAATATATTGAAGTTTTAAAATTCGAATGATTGTGAATTTATCTACTTTAAATTGCATTCGGTACAATTTTTTGTACACTAAAAAAATGATCTGGTTGGATTAAATAATAATTTTGATGGAAAACGGACGAATCAGAATTTTCTGGTTAAATCTACCAGAATTCTGATTGAGATAACTAAAATTCTGATTGATATAATTATTCTGGTAAAAAATAAGAATTCTAGTAGATTTTATCAAAACTATTGTATCAGAATCTCGACTAGAATTCTAATAAATTTAACCAGTAAATTCTGATTTGTCCATTTTCAATCAGAAATTTTTTTCAGTGTAAAATTGGATAAAATTCACTAGGTTTAACTTACTAGACCTTGTGTATATAAATTACCATGAAAAAAAATAACGAGATGAGAGTGCGAAAGAAAAATCGAAAGATGGATAGCCGGTGGTTCTCGCTCGGCCCCTTTGCCTCTCTCACATTTCGGGAGGGTGCGCCCTATAAAAATATTCACGTACGCGAGTCACGCGTAGACACACGCGCTTCTCCCAATTAGTGCAGCGCGTACGGCGTGGCTGCGAAGTTAAAAGAACCGCGCGGAACGAAGCGATATTTCCGTCGACGAGAGGCTGCGGCCTTTCTCCGTAATTACGAGCCGGCGTCAATCCGGAGACAGTCAAAATCCCCGGCGGACAGCTAAGTCGTAACGTCGAACCCGCGCCGGCTCGCTCTCGTTAACTCACTACCGTTAAATTATTAGGTTGTTACAAAAGTTTCGCGCGCGTTCCTTTGTAAAGCGTGCCATAGACGCGCGGTTGAAAAGGGAGAACGATCGGACGCGGGAGATACTGACGATTTAAAGGTAAATGAGGCGAGGCGAAACGCAGTGGTATGGAAACGAGGAGTTTTGGTCAGACGAGATTCTTTTCTGTTCTTGATTTGGCTTTTTATAAATATACATTTAATTATCGATGCCTGTTAAATTTTAGTTGTAAAGATCAAATGCAAGACTGTAAAAACTTAGAGACTTAAAGTTACGCAATTAAGAACTCCGAAATGCAGAGAGAAGTTTGAATATTCTTTGAAATCTTAAAGCTTTAAATTCTTAAAGTCTCATAAGAAGATTCCAATGGGACTCCAGAGAGATTTCATATTCGTAATTTTCAGCCACTGAAGATCAAATACGTAGAGTACAAAGTTTAAAGAGAAAAAAATTTAGTATATTATAAGGAAATTTAAATACGAAAAATAATTCTGATGCCTGTCAAGTTTTAATTATATTAATTTTATTTATATTTTTG